TGTCATTGTTGACACACCACAGCACACAGTGCACAACAATGAAATGTGTCCTCTGCATTTAACCCATAAGGACGTCGTGACATAGCAGGGGGCAGCTAATTCAGCACCCGGAGAGCAGTGCTTGGGGGGGGGTACCTCGCTCAGGGTACCTCAGTGGTGCCTTGCTGGTCGGGGGTTCGAACATGCAAACTTTCAATTACAAGTGCACATAAGCACATATTTTGCATGCAATTAATATATTTTTTTGAACTTTGTCTCATTTGCTTAGACAGTGAACATAATTGTTCATATTTAATCTGACCCCCTAAGACCCATTGACGGACTGCTTGGGGGGGTCCACGGACCCCAGGTTAAGAACCCCTGCACTCCAGCTTAAAGTGAACTGAAAGGGGGGAGTAAACACCAGCAAAAAAAACTGTTTGGCTCATTGTTCTCTAGAGGAGAAGCCTAAATGCTCACTGTTTGACAGAAAGGAGGGAATCACAGTTTTTCTCGATTACCATTTGGTTCTGCTAAACTTTCCCCAAATCAGTAACAGCTTGTCCGCATTCACAGCCAAGTTGCCGCGTGGCTTCGCGGCTCGACAGACGCAGTGCTGAATGCATGCATTGTCCTGCTGACGCGTATAGTGACGACGCGTATAGTGACGATGCGTATAGTGACGACGCACACGTGCGATGCGGCTCAAGTGTCTAGCTGCTATCGGCATCTGCTGGCGTCTGCTGCTGATCAGGGTCACAACACCGAAGGAATGAAAAACCCTCTCTCTCTCTTTCACTCGCACGACCGACCATACCTGGCTGCACACACCCATGGAAAAGTCACATATGCGCTCTTTCATCTCGTCGTAAAACATCCACTGTGCTTTTACGACGCGCTGCTCAAACAAGTACCGGAAATCCGCAGATTTTTCGCAATCATGCCCAGCTTGGGATGACACAACTCCTCCTTGCCGCCCACACAAAAAAAAAACCCAACAAATCTGGACCCGGCGGTCTGAGATCCTGACAGCAGATTTGGTCAGATTGTCCTACCGCAAAACATCTCCTCGCAAAGCACTTTCGGTCAAAACTACAAAGAACCCGGAAGGACTCTAACCGAGGTCCATGGCTAAGTTCTCAATTTTACGCTTTTTTTTTTAAATTTTTTTTTTTTTTTTTTACGTAAGACCATATGTGACCCATAAACATAATGCTGTTCAACCACACGGAGCAGCATTTTCGTGTTTGTGTACAAGAATCAAAGAGCTTCTCTTTGTGGTTAGATGTTCTTTTTACGTGCCACATGTGTCACATTTACATTTCAGTTATTTAACAGATACTTTTATCCAAAGTGACATACAGTTGAAAAAGTCCAGTCCCTGGTGTATTTGTGTTTTAAAGGACTTGTTTAAATGCTGGCGGTGACATCACTCTGCTGACTAGGATATGAACCAATAACCTTCCGATCATAGGTGCAAGTGACCTAAGGCATGGATACCCGCTAACATAGCTGCCCCGGAACAGTGTGGATGTTGTGTGGCGCGTTAGGAGAAGTCTTCCTCTCAATGCACCATAAGCAGTGCTTTCCCAGGATTTGACTGGTTATCGGCCGGCCAATGGATGACTGACCAGTAGTGAAAAAAAAACACTGGGAAATTCCAGAGCTTGAATAGGAGATTAAGTAAAAACCCTATTCAAATAAATAGACTTACTGGCCAACTTAAATTCCTTCCCTGAGTGCCAGGGCCAAATGAAGCTTACCACTATTATGGTTTAATAGTGATGATAATGATTCATCTCCATGAACTGAATCTTTGAAGCCTCATAATTCCAGCTCTTCTAAGACAGTCATGGGTCCGTGTGTCTGTAAGAGACAGAGGAAAATAGGTGGATGAAACCCTCGGAAAAGGACACAGAACACGCTTCTCCCATTCCAGCGAGTATATTCAGTTCCTGTATTTTTGATAAACATATGTTCCTGGCTTTCGCGGTCTTGGCTGGCGTTCAGCGTTCATTGCACAGTCATGTTATACACGCTGGCAAGCCTTTTGTCATGGAATAAACCACCACCGTAATTAGTCTAAAAAAAAGAAAAGGCTGTATTGCATAATTTCACTAGCTTGCCATACCAGCCCATCACCAACCCTAATGACTCATCACATCTCTCCTTCTCAATGTTCATACCCACCTAGCTTTCTGACCCCCCTTTGTCGCCAACAATGTGTGACCACCCGCTACTAACCGAGCAGCACGGTGTTGTCAGTCACGTTTATGTTCTTATTAACTGACAAATTTAACCAAGGACAGGAGCATTTTAGCATCTTGTTAAAGTTACGTCCTGGCGTGCTTAAAATTACCTTGGCTTAGTCCGCCGGCCAGATGAGCGAGCGGGAGATCCAGCAGCACGTGGTGAGCCTACACACCGGAAAGGAGCACTTACACGCAAGAAAAGAACGTTTACACGCCAAATCCGGCCTGCTTGCTTTGGACTCTCGGGAGACCTGAAACCCTCAAAGCAGGAGAAACCCTGTTTAATTTCCAAAGCACCTTTCAAACAGACATGAGAGCCTCCTCTTCCGTTAAATAAGACGCATGGAGTTAGGTCCTTCCAAAGCAACACCTATTCATGACACGATACTCGGCCGGCATAAAGAAGGCCGATTTCTCAGAGTACGGTAGAGGTGAAGTCGGGTTTCTGAATTAATCTGAGAGACAATGGCGGGAAACGAGGGCTGCGTCTTCGTGCTGCGACACGCTCGCATGCCCAGCTGCGACGTGCGTGCTTCATGCATGCGACGGGCAAGGCTACCTTGAAACGGGCCTGTAAGTGTTAAGACACCTCCAAGGAACCCCCCCCCCCAAAGCACTCGGCCTGTAATGCGCAGATCGTAAAATGACAGGCGCAGCCCGGGGCAGGCCTGATGGATGCATCGACGTGCATTATTAATGCGACGCATTGTGGTGATGGGTTTTGGACAGAAATGCACAGGGGCATGTTTTTGTGGATGGGTGGCGGGGATGGGGGTGCGTGTTGGAATGGAGTGACACATTCACGCTGTGGCCCCCCTCTCTCCTGACACGTGCCTTCGCCGCACACGGGAGCCGCCGGTCACGTTCAGGCACGCTAACGTGTCGCCCGCTGTGGAATGCATGCCGGGGAGTTCTTCCAGGGAAATATTCACAGATGCCATGTGATCAGGTGATTGCAGACACCTCAAATCTATTGCCAACCCACTTACACGGTACTGCCTCTGACAGGACCGTATCTCTTTCAGTGGGGGCGGGGGGGAGGCGATTACAACACGTCTCCATTTAAAAACAACCCCGCCCCCTGCCTCGAAGTACAGAACGTGTTAAGTGCACAACATTTCCGGCATCAAGGAAACTCCCAACAGCCGTAAAACAATGTGGCAACTGCCGCTATAGTGACCCCCCCCCCCATCCTTTTGGGTCTGGTTTCCAGGACGCCCTGCGCATCAC